AACTCTAAACTTTTAATTTTTAAACTTTTTGGAATTTTTACTTTTTTAATATAATATTTTTTCGTAAATTTTCTTTTAAATTTATATTTTCTTTCTTTTTACACACACAGTCCCACACATGAACACTAAAAGTGTTTTAAAACAAAACGAAAATATTTACGTAGAGAAGTTGAAAATTTCTTTGTACACTGCCGCTGCAAATAAGCGCAGTCTATAGTAGTCATTGTGTTTAGTTGTTAAGGTCACAAATAATGATTAGCGACGACGAATAAGTGAAGCTAAAAAGTAAACAATAGTTTTTTCTCGTATAAATGTGTAAGGCGTAGAGCAAAAGTGTAGAAGTGAATAAAAAAAGGACAAATATTTCTTCATTTTTTCTTCTGCACTTTGCTCCGTGCCAACTCGAGCTGCCCATAAATATGCAATTAATTAATTAATGTATTAACTTTAAGTTTATAGTAAGCCACGACACACGCTTCCTAGCAGAGCAAGTCTTTACATTTATTATAAAATATTGTATACCCAATACCACATACACTCACGCACACATACAAGCACACTTCAATGCAGTCAGTATATGTATGTAGACAGCGCAGATATTACTGGGCAATCAAAATTAAACGGTAAGATGAGAAGAAAACACAAAACAAAAAAAAAAAAAAGAAAGAAACAAAAATGTTTTAAAAAAGCAAAATATATAAGCTTAGAAAGATTGCGCTTTAATATCGCAAAGGTATAACACCTAAAAGTATGCAACACATGCTCCATGGCGCCTTTGTTCAGCTGCTACAAGTAAAAGTACTCATAGAAAATTTGAATTTTTTTTTTGGTGGTGGTCAATTTGTTACACTTAATCTTAATGCTTGGTTGGCGCGCCGCAGCAAAACGATCAAATATTACAACAAAAACATGCTTTCAGTTTTTGTGTAATTTGTATGTACAACGAATGCGCACAACCTGCTCAGGTGATACTATTAACTATTAATTCTAATATAACGTATGAATATTTAAATTATTAACCTATTCTCCTCTACATTGAAATTGTTTTTGTACAATTCGAAAAAATGTAGAAGTTTCAAGATTTAGAAGAAGAAAAAAATTTTTAAATTTGAAAGAGGAAAACTATTTTGAAAAATTTAAAATAACATTTTTTAACCCAAAAATATCAACTTTTCGTATTGGTTTTCATCACGAAGCCAAAAATTGAAGATTTGAAATAAAAAAAACAACAACTGTGAAGAAATGAGAAGAATATTGTGTATACTACGTACTATCTTGTCATTACAACTTAAATCTTACTATTTTAACTTTAATAATTTTTTTTTACTATTTAACTAAACGGTCAAATCAGATTTAAAGCGAACTAATTTATTTGTTAATTGAAATTATGTAGTATGGGAGGAAGAAGAAGACGATGTAACCTAAAAAAGTATGCGTTTAAAATTTATAAAATGTAAAGTGTGTCGTTATGGCGTGAAAATGAAATAAAAATGTACTTATAAAATTTATGAAAATAATAAAGGCCTTTAAATTGAAACGTCCAGAAAACTTTTCGTATATATGTTTGTGTGGTAAATGGCTGAATCTTTTGGAACCGGAAAAGAAGTAAGTTGCATAAAATATATATTTAGAAAAATGAGAGCTCTTACATATTCTTACAGTGGATTTTGTGATAAAAAGGGACCTAAGGTGAAATATTTGTGTTTTTGGACTTTAAAAACTTTATTTATAATGGTGATATATTGCTGTTGTTGTTATGATATAATATTCGAACGACATGACCTCCCTGAACTATATCAATGTCGTCGTAGTATATCTCATACAGCTCATCGTTCCATCGAATGCGATATTCGCCGTGTCCAACGTGTAAAGTATCATAAATCTTCCACAGAACCTTTCTCTCGAAAACTCGCAATGTGAACCCATTATATGTCGTCATCGTCCATGCTTCTGCACCATAGAGCAGAACGGGAATAATGAGTGACTTATACAATTTTGTTTTTCTTCATCGAGAGAGGATTTTACTTCTAATTGCCTGTTGGCAAGAGATATTCTGGTTCCAAGATAGACGAAATTATCTATGACTTTGAAGTTTTGACTGTCAACAGTGACGTGGGAGCCAAGTCCAGTGTGCTACGACTATTTGTGTAATGACAGAAGATATTTCGAAGATTGTGGGATCTCTCTTTTTGTGGATTGGCCAAAGCACACTTAAATTCCAATCCTATTATATGCTACAAAGAAGCTGTTGCTTGCCCCTAACATTGTGGGGTAGGAAATAAAATTTTTATGTTAAATAAAATTTTTTAGTGGCGGAAGTACTGAGTACTAAGTTCTTTATTTATATGTTATTGAATTTATGAACTTCACTTAAAAACAAATAAGGAAGAAGCCATACAATAGTCTCATAAGTATGGCTTCACTCTCAAACACCACCGATTGGGTGATAAGGTTCAAGAAAGTTCTCATCTCATCGTTAGAGACATGCGGGGACTGTAGTTAGTATGTCGGGTCTTCATCCTGTTATTATATGAAGTTAAGTATTCTGTCACATTTGAAGCTTATTCGTCTACGTGCAACATATCGGTGCTGCGTTGTTTATGATTGGCTAGCCGGTTGCCTGGTAAGGTGCCAACAAGGCAAGTATTCCCGTATAGCGACTAGAGGATTTTGTTGCGGCTTTGTACTTTGGCAATAATCGCGGTCGTATGTGGAGCTAAAAAATACTGACTATTGCATATAACATCTAACATCATATTGTTGTTAACAGTCCGAATTTTAACGCAGTATACTGTGATATTTACATGCAGGCTGTACTCCTTCGTCCAGTGCGTAAATATAGTCCTTACGGATTTAGTAAAAAAAGAGGGTTAGGTTTCTTGTACAAAATATGTGAGAAAGATCGGTGATATGTATGTAGCTGTTCAGTTTTGAATACAAAACATCAATTCCATTGTTTGACGGCAATATTGTATGAGGTGATGGAAATTCCTTTTGGTGGTTAAGGGAGTTTCGATTTATAGTAGTTAAACAGTAGCGGGGAGAGCACACATCCCTGCGGAATCCACTGTTTAATGCTTCACAACAGAGAATTCTGAATACTTATTCATGGTCTACCTGCTCAGCCTTGAGGGAACGCAGATTGTTCGATATCTTCTAGTAGCGTTGCTTGATTGTGCCAAAAGCTTTTGACAAGTCCAATGCTACTAATGTTCTCAATAGATACCCTTCAATACATGCCAAAAAAAAAAAAAATTTTTTAAATTTGAAATTTTACAACAAGAACAATTATCAAAAAATTTGGACTCACTTGTCATAGTATGATAACTAAATTAGCATTTAGTAACGCTCCAAAGTCCCTTGCTATCCATACAACTAATTACGACGTAGGCATTCACAGAAACAACATTTCGAACAAGTTGAATGCTAATGAAAAGGTCGACAGTTGAGCGACAGAAAAACTATTATAACCTTTTCTTGATTGGCACACACGCAAATGTTTCACCTTCAAATCCCTCTAGGCGCCGCAGGCACAGGCATAGTTCATGACAGTCTGCAACAGAATGCCAACAGCACGAGTACTAACGCGGCTACTTCTATTCACCATTGGTATTTCACACAACAAGGCGACATGTCCGCGCGGCACACATTTGGATAAATTGAAATTTAGTCTCGTACGCACTTGTCAACGCTCAGAAATGCCGGCAATCGCCTATAAGAATGTATTTACCTTGGAGGATTGCGTGCGTGAGGGGAAGTTAGCGCGCGGCTTAGCTTTGAATTTTGGCACGCGTTTAAGAAGCAAGCAGATGGTGGGGGGTAGTGATGCTTTTGCAATACTGCTAACGAGATTGCAACAAAGTATGAAGGGAAACGTTAATTTTAGTTTAATCCTTAAAATAAAATTAATTTTTACTTCAAAGTTACGCGTCCAAATTCGACACACAATAAGGAAAATCGCCGAAGCGTTTGGCAGCAGCCACAACACCACTTCAATTGTCACATACTCGCTTGCCCCGAGAACAACACAATCCGTAGTCTGGTGAATGACAGTCGCTACGATTACTACAGCTTATATGGCGAGCCAATCGGTGGGTGTGTGTGCCGACAAATGCAGAATGAATTTTATATTTTTGCCATTTTTTTTATATAGCAACACGCAATTACACCTGCGTACCACAAGTGGGCTTGTTTCAGTTGCAGGTGAGGTCGGCGAGTTTCGTTAATGCCACACTGTATTGCCGCAATGCAACAGATATTGGTGGCGTGGCCATGTTGGCGCATGTTGCGTCAGCATTACGCACGGATGCGTTTGCGGCGCTGCTACGCAACTATAATGAGGCAGCGAGGCAACAGCGGGAACGTCAGCACACCTTGGCTTATGTGGGACTGCATTTCAATCGCTCCTACAGCAGTGAAGCTATTGAGTATAGAAATACGGAACAAGAGCACTTACATTGCTTTCAATACGCAGCGTGGGCGCCGGGTCATCCACTTACTGGGTAATTATTGATGAACGGTTTTTGCTGTAAGTTTTGCTAGAAAGTTGTTCATTTCAGTGAAATACTTGCGAATGTAAGCTGTGTTGCAGTGAGCGATGGTAACACCTGGCTGACGGTAGATTGTGAGCGTGAATTGCCTTCTATATGCGAGATTTATACGTCGAGAAGTGTTTTGAATGAAACGTTTATTACTGTCGGTACATGTGCACCCAAAACTCCATAATATCCTAAACTTCTTTCACTTTACTTTAAGAACTTAAAGAAAAAAATAAGTACTAACGCAAAAATAAATAATAAAAAGCAAATACCACCTGCAATAGACGTTTTCTGTAAGCACAGTTAAATTTCCGAACGGAAGCTCTTCGACATTCCAATTACAACTCAGCTAGACTACAATAGGTGGCGCCACAATTAATTAAAACCCAGAGAACGTAATTATACGTCTGAGAACGTTTATCATGAAAGACGTTCTCTGTAAAATATACGTTCTCTGATATAACTGACAAATTAACTTAGTTGGCAACGCTTCGCGCAACAGCTGACATTTCTGTTTTACGGCATTGCCATTCCTTCCCTTTTCATTTTGCATTGCACCGCGTGTGTTTGATACGCAACGCAATCGCATTTAAATTTTATATTTTATTGTGAAAAGAAGTAAATTTGCACAACAAAATGAGTTTGTACAACTTCAAAAAGATTATGGTGGTTCCGCCAGCAAAGGTATGTGAAAATACCACTTCTACTTTTAACCGAAACAAAAGTGAAGTGAGTGTGCTTTGAATTTGTTGCGGAGCACTTCGCATATAACCTCACTCTCCTTCGCTTTTGTTGTCTGTTTACAAACTATTGTGAAATTTCATATTTGTTAATATTTATGCACATTTGTTTATTTTACAAAAACAATGGTAGGACTTCATCGATATTATGCTCTCAAAGACACAGCGAAAGACACCGACTGTTGTGCACAAGGGTTATAAGATATCGCGTATTCGTGCCTTCTACACACGCAAAGTCAAGTACACGCAACAGAATTTCCACGATCGTCTGTCACAGATTATACAGGATTTTCCGAAACTAGATGACGTACATCCATTCTATGCCGATTTAATGAATGTGTTGTACGATAAGGACCATTACAAATTGGCTTTGGGTCAGCTGAACACAGCTAGGCACTTAATTGACAAGTGAGTTCATTTTTTGTTTACAATTAGCCACGTGCAAATTATCTGTTTATTTTTTTTTCAACAATTCTAATTTATAGCGTTGCCAAAGATTATGTGCGTTTGTTGAAATATGGTGATTCGCTTTATCGTTGCAAGCAGCTTAAAAAAGCAGCGCTGGGTCGTATGGCCACAATTTTAAAGAAGCAAGCTTCGAATCTTACATATTTGGAGCAAGTGCGTCAACATTTATCACGTTTGCCTACCATTGATCCCTATTCACGTACAATTATCATTTGTGGTTTCCCCAATGTGGGCAAGTCATCATTTATCAATAAAATTACACGCGCCGATGTGGAAGTGCAGCCATATGCTTTCACCACCAAGTCCCTATATGTAGGACACACAGATTACAAGTATTTGCGCTGGCAGGTAAGTTAACATACTATATTGATATCTGAGATATGTATGGTACTATTTATATTTCCGTTTTACCCTGTACTTTAGGTCATCGACACACCCGGTATTTTAGATCATCCACTCGAGGAACGTAACGTCATCGAAATGCAAGCCATTACCGCCTTGGCACATTTGCGTTCTTGTGTGCTCTACTTCATGGATATCTCTGAACAATGCGGTCATTCAATAGAAGAACAAGTACAATTGTTCGAGAGCATCAAACCGCTATTCACAAACAAGCCATTGATTTTGGCCATTAATAAAATCGATATAATTGGTCTTGAAGATCTATCAGAGGACAAACGTGAAATCATCACCAAATTACAAGAAGATAAAAATGTGCCCGTTATGTTCACATCCACAGTCAGTGAAGAGGGTGTTATGGAAGTGAAAAGTGAAGCCTGTGAGCGTCTGCTTTCATACCGTGTCGAGCAAAAGATGCGCACAAAGAAGGTAGATAATATACTAAATCGTCTGCATGTAGCAGAACCCAAACCGCGCGATGATAAGGTACGTGCTCCATGCATACCCGAGCAAGCTTTGGCACGTCTCGAAATGAAAGCAGAGAAAGCGGAACGTAAACGCAAACTCGAGCGTGATATCGAGGAAGAAATGGGCGATGATTACACTTTGGATCTGCAAAAGAACTACACCGAAATACCCGAAGAGGAGCGCTACGATGTTATACCCGAATTTTGGGATGGCCACAACATTGCCGACTACATCGATCCCGATATCTTCTCCAAATTGGAAGAACTCGAACACGAAGAGGGTATACGCGAAGAAGGCGGTGTATACGCTCTACCTGATATGACCATGGATGAAACGCTCAAGGAGATACGCGAAATGGCAAAACAAATACGCGGAAAGCGCTTTGAGCTGCGCGATGACCGTCGTCTGGCATCGAAAAAGAACAAGCCAGCAATTCCACGTCACAAGCAACCCAAGGTACGTGATCGTTCGGTCGCTAAGCTGCGTGAAACCATGGAGAATCTGGGCGTCGACATGTCCGGCACCGAAAATGCCAACTTCACAAAATCCGTTGTCGATCTGCGACGCGGTGTGGTAGCTGTTGGCACCAAAGAGTTGAAGAAACCACTGCTGGACAAGGAATCGTCCGCAATAGTGAAGCGCACAGGACAGCCATTGAAACGTGCGCCAGCGCGTGATACAATGGGCGTCAAGAACGTGGCGATGAAGAAGAAGGCACAACTGATGGCGAAACGTGACATTGCTAAGAAGGTGACACGACTGGGATTGAAGGGCGAAGCTGATCGCTTTATCGGCACCAAAATGCCCAAGCATTTGTACTCAGGCAAACGAGGTACGGGCAAAACGGACAGACGTTAAGCGTGCAGCAATTTGGCGGCGGGGCTGCTGTTGGGAGGGCAAAATGTTGAAACCTTTAGCTTTTATTTTTATTGTTTTTGGAATTGTAACAAACTCGATAATGTACTTTTACATTGCGCTATGAAACAATTTGTGTATTTAACTAATAAATATGTGAATTTTGGATTGCATTTCATTACAACAACAAACTATGCTTTTCACTTATGTTGTCTTCAAAACTGTGAAAATTTGATAAGCGGTGCTTAGAACCTGTAAATAATTTAAAAAACGCAATTTCAGCTATTTTTATATGCTGATAAGAAGCGTTAAATGTGGCTTTACCTGTTTGAGTGTGATTAGTGAAACGTCTGATATGCCAGCTACGTTTAAAGCGATGGGCCGATAAGTGCGTACCATCATAAATAAAACGAGACGCTTATAAACCGGTGAGCCATCAGTCCAATTGTGTGCGTAAACAGCGGTAAAGAGATTCGCACTCTGCCAACGGTAAAATAAAAAGAATCAAGAAAGAAATTTAACTTTGGCTGTAGTGAAGCTGCAATATCCTTCATAAACTAGAAAAGCTCTTATTTTGATTTTGATCTGTCAGTTTGTATGGTAGCTTCATCATATAGTGGTATCATTTGAATATTATGTACGGAGATTAAAGCACTGCCTTGGATAATAATCTGTCCAAAAAGTTTGCTAAATGAAAACTTGATTTTGAGCGATCCGACAAATGATTTTGGGGAAAAAAACGTTTGCATAATTTCAGATCGATATCTGAAAAACTGAAACTGGTTTTTGTAGTTATATGCAGACCGACGCAGACAGACGGATAACGCAAATCAACTCAGCTCGTCTGCCTTCTTTCTGGGTTTTAAAAATTAAATGTCAAACTTAATATACCCTGTGCGGGAACAAAGAAATTGAAAATTGGTGGGCGCGGCACTTACGCTATCCATCAGTTTGTCACCATAGTAGCACGTGATGACAACTTGCTTCATTTCGTAGCCGAGTAGAAGAAACACTTTCAAAGCGAAAACGAAGGAGACATCATCGAGTAGCTGATAGGCGCTAAAGCAAAGTATAAATGATGAAGAGGCCAAACTGAAAAGTATCGACGGCGCAAAGATGCTATTCACATCCTTCGCGATTCTAAGAATAAATAATAGAAAACACTGTGACCCTATGCATTCTACATTATCAAACGTCACTCACGTCAAAATCTGCTGATGATACTCAATAATCGATTTCAGCGCATTTAAACTACCTTCCTCGGCCGGTTGTAGCTCTTTAATGCGCTGCGCCAACAAATCCAAGTGCAACATCAGCTGCGACACCGAACTGAAGAGACACAAATCGGCGCTTAATATAATAAAGGCCGCACAAAAGCTGCAAAAACACGCGAATAACAAATAGACGATGTAAACGAACAGTGATTGCTCCAATGGCACGGGATACCAGAAAAGTGTAGGCATGATATATGAGTAGACGCCGCTGGACCATAGGTCGTAGAATGATTGCATTATAGGATAAGTTAAGTACACGATCAAAATGTATTTGAAGAAATTATAGAGCAACGTTTGTACGTGAGCATAAATGCGCAGATAATGCTCCAATTTGTAGTGGCGCTCCACCGCAGCACTCGGGTATAGCGCTGCCAGTTGACAGTGACTCCTCAGCAGCAGGCGACGATTGTAGACGAGAAAGAGTATCTTACCGCCGCTAACGGTGGTGTAGTTGAGCAGCCCCGCGGCGGCGGATTGCTCGGCAAAAGTGCGTCCTGGCTCCAGTATATAGCCGATCTGATGCAGAAACATTAGCGCAATGGTGACCACAATCAGTATGCGCTGGTATTTGGAACACGGTATTTCCGGTTGCTGCAAGAGAATGCCAAAAAATTTTAAATACCTAACTGGGCCGGCGGTGAAGCGTGCAAAATTTGTATTGCGTTCGATGGCGTTCATGGCGCGTTATTTAAAATAAGGTCGCAAACGGATATTGCACTGTGTGGGGTAAAAGCTCTTGCTACGGCTTTTATAAATAAGTTCTTATGCGCGTAAAATTTATTTTCCTGTTGAGTTGCTAACACATGGCATTAACGGTAAATTGGCTTGACACATTTTTTGTCCCATGCAATTTTGAACCTGTAACCGCAGAAACGCCTTTTTGCCATTTTTTTTAAATATCAAGTCAGTTTCTTTAAAAGGTTTTGCAGCAAATTGTTATATTAATGATGAGGTTGCTTCCTGGTGCTATAATCAACGCGAATGTCAAGGTCAAATTGTTTAAGAAAAATGCTTTCAACTTGTTTTGCAGTAATAATTTATTTATAGGCATTTTGTGGTGTGAAAATCTTTTTTGAGGTATAATTGAGTTTTTCGCCGATTATGACAGCTCCGCACTGACGGCGTAGGTCCTAGCGCCCTTATATAAAATTATGATAAATTTATTGTTATTGTAATAAAACAAAACATGAAAACAACGTTATCTTCGGTTGCACCGAAGCTAGAATACCCCTCACATATAAAGAAGCTTTCATACAAGAACACTAGATTTTGATTGTTCAGTTTGTATGCCAGCTATATGATCTAGAAGTCCGATCTGTACAATTTCTTTAGATATTATAGCGTTGGTTAGAACAATAATCCATGCCACATTTCGGGAAGATATTTCGTCAAATAAATTTTTTTTTTCACAAGAACTTAAATTTGACCGTTCAGTTTGTAAGACAGCTACATATATGTACATATGTATGCTATAGTGATGCAGTATCGACCGTTTCGACAAATGAGCAGCTCCCAGAAAAGAATAGAACGTGTGCCAAATTTTAGATCAATGTAGACAAGGTATACAAAATATTTTTTCAATATTTGTAGGAATGTAGGTGTGAAATTAGTCCTTAGGTCCGACTGAATTGCTTAGGATTACGAACAAATTTTTTAGTGACCAAAAATTAAGGGGTTTTATAGTTGGCAAGTCCAAAAAAAGTCGTATGTCAGTCTAAAAGGTGTTGGTGAAGTAACAATACTCGTTCCAGTCCTCTCTCGATGAACAAAAACCTAACTCTACAAGTCACTTATCATCCCCACCCTGCTATATAATGAGTCGGCGTTACGACGTTACGTTTTCGAGAGAAGGGTTCTGCGGAAGATTTATGGTCCTTGGCGCATTGGCAGCGGTGAAGACCGCAGTCGATGGAACGATGAGCTGTACGAGGTATACGACGACATTGCCATAGCTCGGCGAATAAAGAGGCAGCGGCTCCGCTGGCTAAGTCACTCATGCCATGGAGTGGATGAAACACCCCAACTCTGAGAGATTACGATGCAATACAGGTGGAGAAGGACCTGGCTACACTTGGAATCTCCAATTGGCGCAAAACAGTGAAAAGCCTTCAATTGTTTAGCCAGTCCTGTAGTCATAACAACCCAAATGTTTTATCAATTGACATCACTACAAGAAAACAACTTTTTGCAAGATTTTGAGCACTCAATTTCATTAAACAATGTCAAAAGCCACAACAATCAAGGAAGCACTGAAACGTTGGGAAGAACGTGAACAACAAAGCGCCGTCGAGTCCAAAGTGATCGAGTTGCAATTTCAGTGGCCGCCAATCGAGAAAATGGACAACACGCTCAGCAACTTGGTTAATTGTGAGTAAGTGTGTTAGCTTGCAATCTAAAATAATAGCATACAAATTAACTTACTAACCATTTGGTAGACGGCTGAGTCTCTCTACAAATATGATCGAGAAGATTTTCGGCTTGAATGGCATGAAAAACTTGCGTGTGCTCTCTTTGTCGCGGAATTACATTAAAAATGTTTCAGGTTTGGTACGTTCTGTTTGGCAAATATTTATTAAAAACTCGCTAATTGCTTTTGCATTTCTTCACAGGAAGCCGTCGCCGACACACTCATCGAGCTGTGGCTTAGTTATAATTTAATTGAAAAGCTGAAGGGTCTCTCTGCATTGAAAGGTTTAAAAATTCTTTATATTAGTAATAATTTAATCAAAGATTGGAGTGAGCTTACACGACTGCAAGAACTCGAAACGCTGGAGGATCTTGTGGTGGTAGGAAACCCAATATCCGAAGGCATGGATGAGGCCACATGGCGCGCTGAGTGTATCAAACGTTTGCCCACAATACGGAAGTTGGATGGTGAACCGGTGGTGTTGAACGAAGAACCAGTCTTATAAATGTCATAATGTAATTTAAGTTTTTAGGGTTAGAATGATATTTTTGGAAATTAATAGCAATAAAGATGCAGCTATGAAGTTAGGGTATACAGACTTTAAAATTACTATTTTCGTATGAATATATACTATCCGAGCAATAATTTTAGCAGGTGTAGCCTTTTCGAGCGTCTTCCACCAGATAAATTATGGGCTGACTACCTTTCATAGAGTCAACACAATATCTTTGGTGAGCCTTTTCCTTAGAGCTCCTCTACAGCATTATAAGGCAACCAATTCCTTACTAATTCTGCTCCTTAATATTTGGCCTCCACTAATGCTTCTGTCAAGGATGAGCCTTAGCTATTTGACCTTTTCAACAGGTTGAAGGCGTAAGCCCCCGAAAGAGGGAAGATGTACGTTTGGGATCTTATATTTCTTAGTAAATAAAACCATTTAAGTTTTATTTGGGTTGAGGGTAGGCCTCTTCTATTCGCCCAGTTGAATACCACGTTAAGGTACTCTTCCGTTGGGTCGTAGACGATATTAAGGATTTTTCCTTTAATCATAACGAACAACATTGTCAGCGTAGGCTATTACTCGGCAGCCCCGTTCCTCGAGTTCCTTGAGTAGGTCGCTAACCACCAAAATCCAAAGGAGTGGGGAAAGTACCTCTCCTTGCTAAGTATTCCTATTTGGAAGCGTTCCAAAGTAAACAGGATTAAAAAAAAAAAACAGAACAAATGGTTTTAACAGCAAAATCAATTTATTTTATTCAAAATAGTCTCCTTCTGCTTCAATACAGCTTCATATATGGTCCAAAAGCATGTCGAACGATTGTTTCAGCGTGTTGGCCGGTATAGACGTCAGTATGCCGGTGCAAGCCTTTTGAATGGCCTCTACGTCTGCATAACGCTTCTCTTTCATGGGCAAATGTATTTTTCCGAAAAGGAAGCCATATCAGCTGAATACGGCGAGTGGTTCATAGTTAAAATGTGAAGATTTAAGGTTTGCTCTTTGTTCGAAGCTCACTTTCGCATCCGGAGGCGGCCCCAGTGATGGCTAGAAAGATGCCTACAGAAAGGTGCAAATGCATTGGAACTAAGGCTTCCTCTCATATTGGCATGCTGGACCTTTAACAGTTTACCACCCAATTTTCTGCTCTTAATAGACATATTAAGTCTCTTCAGCGTTTGCAACCAGAACGAGGATAGCCTAATGGGTCTGAATCCTCTTCACCGACGTGAGAATCAAAAAGGTCAAAAATCAAAGGGATGCTAATCACTTTCTTTGATTACCGTGTTGTAGTTCACCAGAGGTTCCACTGTTTTAAAGGATTAAAAGGGAATACTACTAATACTACTTTTGAGGCGCTTACGGCGTCGTAAACGTCCGGAGGAAGTTGATGGAATTTTCTTCACAATATTGCCATATTTTTTTGCTATATATGAGGTGGTCATCGCTCTGATCAATTCGTTTAGCCCTCATATTCTTAAGATTTGGCTCAGCATGTCCTTTTTTCTGTTTCTGAAACTGAACAATCGGCTACGGAGAACGCACTCTGAAGTCATTTAAAGTCATACGCAGAAGACAGCGAAACAAATCAAGCTCGCAAAAGCTCTCATTATCCAGTCATTATAGCACTAAATGAAAAATGCAAAATGCAATATTATTGCGAATTTTGTGGAGGATGCAATATTATGGAGTCACTCGAAAAGTCATCACAGTGAAACGAGCCACAATTCGAGTGACAATCATCAGCGTAGAAGGGCAAATGAAAACTGAAAATACTATTTGCAATTTTATGCATATTGGACTATGTAAACTGCATAAAATGTAAAATTCAACCACAAAAGAGCAAATTGCGAAAACCAAACTATATGAGAAAAAAGAAATGTGTGCATGATTGTGGCTATTTTAAATGACATTAATTGTTGGTTTAGAATACTGCAGTTGTTGTTGTGAATTTGATGTGCATGGGTTTTTTTTTAGTTATTTGCTCTTGTTGTTGTGCAACCATTTGTTGCTGTAGAAATATCAATGAAGACAGACAGCGCATTGGAAACGAAACTAACGACGCACACATACACAAACATATAATATTAACTGTAAAAAAATGCGAACGCATTACGAGTGTTGACTAGGATTTGTTGGTGAAAGCTGGTAATTTGAAAAGAAAAAAAGGATGTTGCCAGTGCGATTATCTGCTGTGCGCTTTATGACTGCTGAACTCAAAGGTGGCTCACCCATACATGCACACATACAAATACAGCCACAAATTGCTTTCATAAGTTGCCATGCAAACCAAAGTCTTGCCAGCTGCTAAGCTGCCACAAGCATAAAACACCTTTGGCTCATTTTAATGATGTGAATATGTCATAGTACAAGTTGCTTGCATTTGTTTTTGTTTTTTGTGCGTTTTATCGGTGTAAAATGTCGACTTTGCGTGTATTAATTCGCAAGTTCTTTGCAATTGAAGCTTCCTTTATTATTTCCTTGTTTATTTATTAAGTTGTGGCAAAAGCTGATAAGTTCGGCTTTGTATCTGTATTTGTTTGCTCAGCTGTTTGTGTTATTGGCAACGTAATTTACTAGCGAATTTATCAAATAAACAATTATGACGAGCAAAATCAACAGCAACATAAATAATTAAATGCCTTGTATTGCTCGAAAACATTGAAAACGAGCAAAACTTTGCAATACCCAGTAGGAAATTGAACGGCTTGTCGGTATGAGGCGTGGTTTTTGCGATGAATTCTGAAGTAGGTGCTTTTGTAAACCTCCAGCGTA